TAGGTTCGTGCCCCGGTCTGGGAAGATCCCACATGCCGCGGAGCGGCTGGGCCCGTGAGCCATGGGCCGCTGAGCCTGCGCGTCCGGAGCCTGTGCTCCGCAACGGGAGAGGCCACAGCAGTGAGAGGCCCGCGTACCGCAAAAAAAAAAAAAAAAAAAAAAAAAGTCGCCCAGGTGCCTTAACTTACACGAAGCCCCCGACACACTCCCAGGGGGCATGCTGGCATTCTCTATTTCTGCCACCACAAGACTGGAGAAACAGTGTTTGGAAAGCACAACGGCACAGTGGCCAGGGGCACAGACTCTGTAGCCAGTGACCAGGACGGGGCCCAGCTGAGCTGAGTAACTGGAGCTGCTTCAAAGTTTCCTGAGCAGCGGTGTGGGTGAGCACACCGCCCCGCCCCGCGCCGCCCCACTCATGGGCCCGGTATGAGAATTAAATCAGTTAACACAAGTACAGCACTCGACACAGCTCCTGGCACAGAACTGGTGCTGTGTTAGCTTCTTACGCTATCGCTACTGTCACTATTGTTACTGGCATGCAAGGGTAAGCCATGCGTTCAAGAGCGTAGTGATTCCACGTTAGCATTTCATACCTGACGCTCAGACGTTGCCACGGTTTTGTACGGAAGAGAATCAGGCGCTTACTGTCATCAGTTAAAGCGAAGTAGCTGCCAGACGTGGAGAAGGCGGCCGCCAGGGCCGTGTCACTCCCCTCACCCGCAGGCTGCGCGTCCTCCCTGAGGAAGAGAGCGGGCGGGTCAGGCCTTACCTCAGCAGGCGAGGCTGCACCCTCCAGGCCAGCCCCGTGCGCTTGTAACGCGGTCGGATGTGGAGAATGTGACGAGGTTCGTGTAGCCAGAACATAAAACACATTAAGGGGACACGGAGAGGTTAAAGACCACTCTAATTTTTAAGGAGTAAAGCTAAGTAAACAGAAAAGTCTCTCAGCATACACACCAGAATGCCAAGGGCTGAGCTGCAAAGACCCTCAGAGGCCCACTCCCTCAAGGACATGAACTGATCTACAACTAGAGGCAGGGATCAAATCATATTAAGAAAATAAAGTGGGCCCCAAGCCTGATTCTTCTAAAGAAAACCACCATACAGAATGACCATACTCTGAAAACAAACCTATGGTTACCAGTGGGGAAAGGTGGAGAGGGATAAATTGGGAGATTGGGATTGACATATACACACTACTATATATAAAATAGATAACTAATAAGGACCTACTGTAGAGCACAGGGAACTCTACTCAATATTCTGTAATGACCTATATGGGAAAAGAATCTAAAAAAGAGTGGATATATATATAGATGTACAGCTGATTCACTTTGCTGTACACCTGAAACACAACATTGTAAATCAACTATACTCCAATAAAAAATTTTTTAAAAACCATACTCTACTTTTATCTTTCAATTAGCTGAAGTTAATTTCATATACCTGCTTTCAATGCATTTAAAAGTGCCCTGTTATTTCAAAGTGCCAATAAAATAGTTAATTACTGACAAAAACGAATTTAAAGTATTTTAAAAACTGCTAATATTCTTAATGCTGAGTTTGAAAGGTAGTTCCACATTTCTCTCCTGAGGTGGTCCCTGGTTTATCCACACGGCCGGGTAACAGAAATGAAGAATTCAGCAAATAAGACAACAGCTTACTCCTTAGACGGAACGGTCCCATTATTCAAACCATGCATCAGCCCTGAAGAGGCTCCCCTACCATCTCACCCTTTATGCTCTTGTGCCTCCTTTTCTGCAGCACTGCAATCATATATGAAGAGGCTGTCATCATCACTAAAGAAAAAAATAACAAAAACATTTTAAAGGAAGCACTTCGGTAATTATAATGTTCATTTCTTTTTTTTTAACCTGGATCAAAACAATATTTGCATACTCACTAAGGGTCTTATCCACAAGAAACTGTCTCCAGAAGATATTTCAGGGAACAGCTAAGGAGCTTTATTTGCTTAACCTATTTACATTTGCCATACATAACTGATATGGTCTGTCCATAAAAGTCAGTTAAGTGAAATAAATGAAGACAAAAACTCAACAGGAAGTAATATACCATTCTTTGATAACCAGAACATCAGTGCAAAATGGCTATGTAAGAACAAGTTATATTCTGATGTTACTGAGTTTTCAGAGGGTCTTTTGCACCCGTTTAAAACCACCATTACTTGTTTAGAAAAATGTCTCATCTGCCCCAGAAAAGCTCCCATGGCTGCCAGGCATTTACCAGTATAGAAGCCACCCACCTTCCCTATCAGACCCTGAGCTCCCCCTCCAGTGCCTGGCACAGAGAAGACATCGTGCAAATTTATAGCCTTTAAAGTGACTGCAGCCAAACTCTTTTCACGTGGCACACTGCAGCGCAGGAAGCGAAACAGTCCTCCAAGCCAGAAACTGTGCCAGCCAGCCACTAGATTTCCTCAAAAGGTATGGAATGAAGCAACCAGATGGAGTCTAATTTAGCCGTCTCTCACTGTGGCATGTGTTAGATACCCCGAGGCTCTAAAACAAAATAACCTGGGCCAGACAACAGGTTTGTGAATAAATCTGTGAAATCTAAACTTAACATCTTATTGGATCTCTGAAACCAAACACTGAACAAAGAACACAGATAGTATCTTTACATTTGAGAGACACATTGTTTCAAGTATGGAAGAATCAAAACTACCCTGGGAAAGAAAACAGGGGCCGAAACTTACCACTACTAATATCCAAGAGGTTCCTGGGTCAAGACTATTCGATCAACAAACATTTACTGATTTAAAAATCCCGGGAACGATAAGGAAGGAGCGTGAAATTAGAGAAAGCAAAAGCAAGACCTTATAATGGGCCACTAGGGAGGTGCGCGCAGTGGCTCTGGAGTACCCCCCGAGCGAGGAGGTGTCAGATAAAACCCTCCAGCCCCGAAGGGCAAGTAGGGCGGGGTCGAGGGATGTGGGCTGGGAGGAGGAAACAGGCACCTACGCAGGAAGAGGGAGAGAGGGGTGCGCCGAACTTGGTGGCCGGGAGTAAAGCCCTCTCCCCAAGGGCTGCCTTCCACACCTCTCCAGAGAGAGTTTGACCAGCGTCCCCCGGACCCCGCAGAGCCCGGAAGTGTCTCGCGCCGAACCCTCAAAGAGCGCCGCAGACCCGCCGCAGAGGGCGCGGGGACCTGGGCAGGCGGCTAGGGGACCCCTGGGCGGGTCTTGGGAGAAAGACGCGGAGAGCGGACATTCCGCGGCGCAGGCACGCGGCCGGGCCCAGGTGGCAACGGAGAGCTCACAGGTAGTAGCGGGGCTCCCCGGGGTCACCCCAAGGCGGGTGCAACCCCGGCTGTGCGGGAGAGCCGGGGGGGGGTCTCAGGGCCCCGACACGCGACCGCAGCCTTGGCTCCTGCTCCAGGCCCAGACCCCTCACCTGCTCGAAGTGGAGGTGGCCAGCAACCGGCTGCCGCCCCGCACCACCAGCTCATGCCCGCACAGCACCAGCCCTGCAGAACCCGCCATGTACCCGCCCGCCGCGCAGCTACCCACGTGCGCCGCCTAGCGCCTCTTCCTGCCAGCGCCGAAAAGTGACGTCAGACGTAGACGCCGCGAGGAGACGTCATCCGGGCTGGCCCCGCGAACATGCCAGCCCCGGGCATGCGCAGAAGGTGCATTATCCCTAAAACTCGCAAGCTGGCCTTCGCGCCTCTGGTGGCTTGGGGTGGGTTGCTGATCGCGTTTGTCCGGATGGAATACACTTGATTGTTTAGTGTTCGTCTCATCCTCCAGACTGCATAGGGCCAGTTCTGGATCTTTCTCACGCTGTGGCCGGGCGACTTGGCCGGCCTGGTACCTACTTGGTCCTTCAAAAAGTGAGAGGGTCTGAGTTTGCCTCCAGGTCGAGGACATGGTGTCAGAGGTGGGCTCAGAGCTGAGGGAAGATAAGCCAGACGCGCCTGAAACGCAAAGCCTCTGAACTGCTATTTTTCAACCCAAGATAGGGCTCCTTTCCTGTGTTCTTATGCTCATGGAGTGGGTCACCAGGCATCAGTTATGCGGGATGATTCCTCGGGACTCTCCGCCCCCATATTCCACACTCTTCATCTATTCTTATAAATCCTCCTGGACGCCCCTTCTCTCCAGCTCCGCGGCCTCCGCCACGACACAGCCCACAGGAATCTCGCTGCTCACTGGTGTCACATCCGCCCTTGTCTCCCCGCCACCCCCACCTCATGCAGTTTCCACACTGAAGCCAGAGGGACCTTTTCAGAACACAGTTCCAATTCCCTGCTTAAAATAAACAAGTGGCTTCTCATTGTTCTCAGTACAGAAACCAAATCCTAATCTTCCACTATGAGACCAAGTGTGTGGTCTGCCTCCTAACGACTCTGCAGCCTCCTTCCCTACCAGGCCTGCTTCAGTCTCAGTGCTCTAGCCGTGACTACCCTTCCGTTCACTGGAACAATGGTTCTACTAACCACAGGACCTTAGCGCGTGCTATTCTTTCTGCCTGAAATGTTCTCCGCACACCCTGTCTATGTCCCTAGTTAATTCCAGTCACTCAGTTTCATCACAGTGGAGTCATCACTTAATCAGGGAAGCCTTTCCGTTATTTGCATCCACAGCACCGTGATAACTTGTTTAATGTCTGTCTCCAGACTACAAATGCCATGAAAGCAGGGACTGATGCCTACTAAATTGGCAAGTCACCGATCGATGCCCCAGCTTGCACCACAAAACCTGACATGAAGTCAGTGCTCAGTATTTGCTAAGTAAATAAACGGAACAACTAATTGGCAGTCTTAAAAGATCAGCTATTTTTGCATAAGACGAATTACGATAGGCATGAGGCATGGAAACTCTGCCTGACTCAACCCCACCTCCAGTTTGATTCAAGGATGAATTGACACCCAGACTTAAAGCAGAATGCTTGGGAGACTTCCCTGGTGGTCCAGCGGTTAAGAATCAGCCTTCCAATGCAGGGGACTCACGTTCAATCCCTGGTCGGGAAACTAAGATTCCACGTGCCGCGGAGCAACTAAGCCTGTGCGCCACACCTACTGAGCCTATGTGCCACAATGAGGAGCCCACGCACTGCAGTGGAGGATCCAACATGCCGCAATGGAGGATCCCCCGTGCCGCAACAAAGATCCCAAGGAAGAACCCTAGTGCCGCAGCTAAGACCCGCAGCCAAAAATAAAATAAATATTAAAAAAAAAAAAAGGGGGCTCCCCTGGTGGCGCAGTGGTTGAGAGTCCACCTGCCGATGCAGGGCACACGGGTTCGTGCCCCGGTCCGGGAGGATCCCACATGCCGCAGAGTGGCTGGGCCCGTGAGCCATGGCCGCTGAGCCTGCGCGTCCGGAGCCTGTGCTCCGCAACGGAAGAGGCCACAACAGTGAGAGGCCCGCATACCACAAAAAAACAAACAAAAAAAAAAAAGCAGAATGCTTGGGAAAAGCCGGGCTTCCTTTAAGGCAATGAGGTAAAAGGGGCTTTCATGGAGGCAGAAGATGGAAGAGAGTCTGTATCACAGAACAGAGAACGCAGAGGGCTGGGGGCGGGAGGTTGGGGGTGGGGAGAAGGGGCAGGAGCTAAGCCAGAGACTCACATGAGATCATCGCAAGGGAGCTTCCAAGGAGGGATTGACGCTGGGCAGAAAGCAGAGGAAGCAGGAGTCTCCACAGTGTTTCTGAAGGTGAGTCGGCTATAAACATCATTTCTATTCAGCTAACCTAGCCGGTACAGTGAAAGTCCATACTCATGGTCTGGGGTATTTTTCAGGCCCGCAGGTGAATTTACAGTTTCTCTTCTGGGTGGGATAACAATACCAAGACCACAGAGATCCTAGAAAGGGGCAGCCAGTCATCGCAGGCTTGCAGGCAAATTTAACTTTCTTTACAATCGTGGTTTACATCGTTTTAAATGTTCTGTAACACACATTCTAACAGATACAATTAACTGTAATGTGCGTATTTAACCTGACCTTGGGGCTTCCCTGGTGGCGCAGTGGTTGAGAGTCCGCCTGCCGATGCAGGGGACACGGGTTCGCGTCCCAGTCTGGGAAGATCCCACATGCCGCGGAGCGGCTGGGCCCGTGAGCCATGGCCGCTGAGCCTGCGCGTCCCGCGTACCGCAAAGAAACAAACAAACACTAAACTGACCTCGAAGCTTCACTACTTTCATGTTATAGGTTACAACCTCGAGAAATAACTACAATTTTTTTGGAGTTGCACTATTCCTTTTAAGTCTTTATTATTTGTTATTTGGAGGAAAAATAATAAAGACTTAAGAGGAATCCTGCACTGTATCAAAAGACGCAGAGCAGCTATAAATGAAAACTTAAAGATCTGTACTTGACCATCAGATGTAAACAAAACTTAAGCATTTTGAAGCTTTTGTGTTGATAAATCACTTGCCTCATACTTTGAATTCTTATAGTACTTGTGCCAACAAGACTTATTTTCCTCAAGATTTTTTTCATCAAATTTCATGATAACATCTACCTTTTTAATTTTAATCAAATCTACTTGAAGGGGCTTCCCTGGTGGTGCAGGGGTTAAGAATCTGCCTGCCAATACAGGGTACACGGGTTCGAGCCCTGGTCCGGGAAGATCCCACCTGCCGCAGAGCAGCTAAGCCCGAGAGCCACAACTACTGAGCCCACGCACCTAGAGCCCGTGCTCCACGCACCTAGAGCCCGTTCTCCACAAAAAGAGAAGCCCCCGCGCACCACAACGAAGAGTAACCCCCGCTCGTGGCAACTAGAGAAAGCCCACGCGCAGCAGCGAAGACCCAATGCAGCCAAAACTCAATCAATCAATTAATTAATTTTTTAAAAAGTTAAGAGAATAGATCTTGAAAGTCCTCATCACAAGAAAAAAAAGTTTGCAACTATGTGTGGTAATGAATGTTACCTAGACTTACTGTGGTCATGATTTCACAATGTATACAGATACTGAATCATTATGTTGTACACCTGGAACTGATACAATGTTATACGTCAACTATATCTCAATAAAAAATAAAATAAAAATTTTACGGAAAAGAGAAAAAAGAATGCTACATATATATATACATATATATATGTATATATATAATTCAGCCATAAAAAAGAAGTAAATCCTGCCACTGCACCATTGCAACAACATGGATGAACCTAGAGGGCATGATTCTGTGTGAAATAAGACAGGCAGAAAAAGATGAATACTGTATAATCTTATTTATATGTGGAATAAAAAAACCAAACTCATAGAAACAGAGCAGATTGGCAGTTGACACGGACAGGGGTTGGAGTGGGGAATCGGGAAAATGGGTGAAGGTGGTCAAAGGCTACAAACCTCCAGTTATAAGATGAATAAACACTGGGCATGTAATGTACAACATGGTGACCATAGTTAGGAATATTGGATTGTATACTGGAAATTTAATAGAGTAGATCTTAAAAGTTCTCACCACACACACAAAAATTATACCTATGTGAGGCAAGGGGAGTGTTAACTAAACTTACTGTGGTAAGAATTTGCAATATATACACTTGACCCTTGACCAACTCAGGGGCTAGGGGCGCCAACCCCCTGTGCAGTCGAAATGCAGGTACTGCTATCTCTGCCTCAAAGGGCAGGAAGCTGACGCAGTTTGTTCCAAGTCAGGACTCAAACCCCAGTTCTTTTGATTCCGTGTATTATGATTGCTAATCGAACACAAACTTTTCCCTACACTTAGTTAATGTAAAGATCTGTAAAAGGAAAATACAGGTACTATATTTATTGAAAAAGATACAGGTATAAGTGGACCCATGTAGTTCAAAGCCTGTTGTTCAAAGGTCAACTGTACATATGTCAAATCATTACATTATTCACCTTAAACTTACACAATGTTTTGTCAACCATATCTCAATAAAGCTTAACAATTTTTTCCATTAAAAAAAAATAAAGTCACTCATAATCTCCCATTTGGTGTGGTTTTGACATATGTTATGGGTTGAATTGTGTTTCCCCCAGATATACTGAAGATATATGGAAGCCCTAAGCCCCAGGATCTCAGAATATGACCCTATTTGGAGAGAGGGTCTTTACAGAGGTAGTCAAGTTATAATGAGGTCATTAGGGTGGGCCCTAATCCAATACGACTGGTGTCCTTATAATAGGGGGAAATTTAGATACACAGACAGGCACAGAAGGAAGACTCAGTGAAGACACACAAGGAGTACGCCTTGTGGAAACAGAGGCAGAGACTGGACTGATGCAGCAGAAACCCAGGGACAGCAAGGACTGCTGGCCACCACAGCTAAGAAGAGGCAAGGAAAGATTCTACCCAGGATCTCAGGGGGCACGTGGCCCTGCTGACACCTTGATTTAGGACTCCAACCTCCAGGAAAAACTGTGAGACAATAAATTTCTGTTGTTTTAAGCCACCCAGTTTGTGGTCCTTTGTTACAGCAGCCCTCGCAGGCTACTACGACACATAGTTTCATCTTGAGGACACTAGTATTATAACAACTAAGTTCTTGGTGGCAGCACTTAGCTTCTCGCTTAGTTGGTAGCAACCTTTGTCCATCAGAGGCTTGGAAAGTCTCCAGTAACAGCCAGTTGGTG